CAGGCTGCCCTTAATGCAGGTACCTGGCAGTCATGCTTTTCCAGCTTGGTTAAAACCCAGAGTCTTTGTCAGATGGGAAATTAATTTCACCGTGTTCCTTCCCGTGTATAAATCTTTTCCACTCAGCAATTACACGCCAAGAACAAAAGCCACCATTAAAATTTCAAAGCAAACACTCTTAATGCCGTCACTTTTGACTCAATATTAGAGCCATTTCCTTTGCTCAACAGTTGCAAAGTAAGTGTTGCGCAAAGGTGTTCAAGCACTGGTTGTTTGTTGCAGTGCAATCTCTGCCATCTCTCCAACCACCATGGCAGCTAGTCCTTTACACACCTCTGTAGTCAATCACTTGTTTATCTGTGGGTTCACTTAAATTGCCCAGTGAGTGCACCACACAACAGCACAAACCCAGAAGAGCAGTGTGAGCCAGACGACAGACCTTGATCTAAAGCCCTGCATTCTGCACTGATAACACACCAGCTTTCCCTTTAATGTCTCCAGCACAGAAAGATGCACCAGGCCCCCTAGTAAAAGGAATGCCCTTGCTCGCTTGTAAAAGTAGGATCCCTGGAAGACAGAAAGAGAGAGAGAGCGAGTGGGGGATGGGTAGGAACAGCAACGTAAGGAAGGAGGAAAATCACACATCCAGGAATTAACTCCCTCTATCCATTGCCTGGATCAATCCCCTCTGCAATTCCCAATCCGCCCCCATCTCTCTTAAACTCATACCCAATTCCAATCATGGCCACAGTAAAGCTCTCTTGTAAAATACCACAATGCGACCTCAGACTTCAGTAAATTAGATGCCGCTTGGACCCCTTTGCTTTGAAATACAGCACAGGTCTGCCTGGAGCAGCATTAAAACTGAGGTCAGCCCAGTCACTGCACACGAGAGATATTCCCCCTGCCATAACAGTGTGTTTGCACGGAGGTATGTTTGCAAACCTCATTTAAAGGAGCCGAATGAGAGGCTAAAGCCTGCCAATTTGGCATCGGCTTTCGTGCATGTTTGTCAGCGGCTCTGTGCGCCCGAATCCCTGGCGAGGGTGTACCCAGTATGCGTCAAAGCGCTGCTTGGGCCAGGCATGACCACCGATCAGATGGATGATCAAACTCTAATCATCCCCTCACGGCCCATCCCGGGTAAAGCTGTCATTAATTTTGCGGAATTACATCAAATTGGAGACATTCTTTATGCGGCCCACAGCCTACAGACAGTTATACGATGGGGACTGCTGTGCTAAGCAGATGGGGCAGCTTGGCCGTGCATACTAAATACCGCTGTCCCCCTTCATGTTTCTCCCTTTCTCTTTGGCACACCAGCTCCCTCTCTCCGTCCCTTTATCTCTGTCACTTACGTACTTCCATTACTCTTTGTCTTCTACCCTTCTGGGGTCTTTGATAACTTTAAGATTTTACATTATATCTTCTTCCTGCCCTTCCACAATTCACTTTAGCTAGAATTTTCTTTGTTTCTCTCTCTTTCCATCAGGAAGGACTATATGTTCAGGGTGTGGTGGGTGTTTGTTATTGACGTTTACACTCCCCCTCCCATTTCTTGCTAAAGATGCCACCATGAAATAAGCAAAAATGCCCTGCCCCAGAAAACCCACTGTTAGCTTACCCATGTTGCAACTAAATGCATGCTACTGCATGCCAACTGCAGTCACTGCACACTCATTCAAGATGCTGTAATCTGTCACACAAGCAAGTATGTCTCTTGCTGTGAAACATAGGAACATAGTTCATCATCTATATTTTGTCATGCACAGATATTTTATAATGAATAAAGCTTTTTTTTTTTTTTTTTTACTGGATAGCACCTTTATACTTGAGAAACATTAGATCAGCGGTCCTCAAGTTGTTGTTGGATCTTAAATTAATTTTTGTGGAAAAAAAATTAAATGCACTACTGTTCAAAACTTTGGTGTCGGTAAGATTTTTTTAAAAATTTGAAAGAAGCCTTACCTTGGTTTTATTTATTGAACAAAAATAGAGTAAAAACACTAATATTGTGAACCATTCATGCAATGCAAAAACTGTTGCCTGTTTTAATACATAAGAAACAATTTATTCCTGTGATGACAAAGCTGAATTTTCAGCATCATTACTTCAGGCTTCAGTGTCACATGATTCTTCAGAAATCATTCTAATATGCTGATTTGCTGCTCAAGAAACATGTACATGTACTGTATTTGAAAACAGTTGTGCTGCTTAATATTTTTGTGGAAAGTATGACACACTTTTTAAAGATTATTTGATGAATAGAAGGTTCAAAACAACAACAATTATTTTAAATACAAATATTTTGTAACAGTATAAATGTCTGTACTGTCATTTTTTAAATCAATTTAATGCATACTCACTAAATAAAAGTATTAATTTATTAATTATCCAAGTTTGAATTAAACGTATTAAACTATTTTTAAGAAAAGTTAAAATTAAGAAGCTAAAATAATTTTTTTTTTACATTTTCTCTCTCACTTTAAAATGTATTAAGTAAAATTAAAAACATGCAAATATATGACTTTCTACATCAATAATGATTATTATAATGGATTTATAATGTGAGCATCATAAAGTTATGATAAATTCTGTTCAGTGCTCTGATTGAGAACAGCAAACATATTCATTGGCTTGCCAGCTGATAGTAACTAGCAAAACGTGGTAGATCCATCCAAGTTAATACAGATTACAAAGGTCTGATTTGTAGAAAACAATTCGAATTACCAAGAAAACTCAATAGTCGTCATTCTATACGTTTTGCAGTATCTATAAAACAAGCAAGAGGAATCCCTGACCAGGCTAGTAATGAGATGATAAAATGATTGGCCAACATAACTCTGGCCTGCACCAGATATTCTCATTGATCTCTTCAAAAACACTTGACATGGAGCGCCTGGCAGGAGGAGCGAGGTTAGGAGTGTCATGGGCCTGAGGGAGACTCGTCATCAAGCAAGGTCAGTAACACACTGTCTGTGTGCCATCAATCACATGCCTCTGCCCTTCCCCCTTCCTGCCTGCCTCTCACGCAGCCTTCGCCGCATTTCAGCCAAGCTCACTGTTAAAACAATCTCAGCACCTTTATTGGGCTGCCTCATTTACTGCCTGCATGCAATTACAGGCTAAGGGTGGCCATCTTGTTTGCAGTGGCCGCAGCATGGCTGCCTTCCTTGCAGTGCAAACTGCTTCTGATGCCTTAAAATACACACAAAATAAGGTGATGTTTTATCAGTGGTTAAATAATTTCAGTTTTTTGAAGCTGATTTAGAGGACTCCAAAAATGTGCAGGCAGTGCAATGGACAGCGTTGTAAGATCTTAAAATAGTGAAAGATTCACTTAAGCCCCAAATCCTTAACATCAAAGGCATGCGAGTGTTAAATCGGCACTTCATTTAGAATGCATATATCACTTTGACTTCTGACCTCCTAATAGCACCATGAGACCTGAGTGTTGTATGTGCCAAATTCCTCAAGAAATGTCTTCTCCAATATAATCATTCAACCATTTAAGCCCGCCACAAATATGAGAGATAACATGCCTGGCTGATCCAAGCTATTACTCCAGCTTTATGGAAAAATAAAGTGGGATTTTACTTCTAAATTGTAAAGAAGACACTGATACACATCTGAAAGATAGTGATGTTTGCGCTATTTTACAATTTATGGGCATTCATTTTAAATTATTGTAATGTAAATAAAAAAAATATATTAATTAGTGGGATTAAGCTTAATCATATTGTCATTCTATTAAAAAAGAACATTCTATTTTAAGAAACAGTAATATATTTAAAGATGACCCCTTAGTGGGCAATACACATCTACAACTCTTCCCACTTAGTAGTGCGTTTCCTAAAAGTATACTGCCATCTGGTGTTCAAAACGAGAACATCGGACAACTAATGTTTTGAAAAAGAAATGTCTCATCAGCTCTAATTTAACACTTCTAAGTATCTCTTTCCATGAACTATTTATTAAATATATTCTAAATCCTTGTATTTCACATTGTTTTTTACACGGATTGAGCTGCCAGTTGTGACGGCTTATTTTAAGTGATTCGACGTGTGAGAGACAAATATTTGTAGAAATTATTGAAGCACGACAGGCCTTTAGCAACTGCTTTTCAGCGTCACAGGCAAGCATTCTAGTATCAAGTTTCTGTGAGTCAGCAAGAAATGTAGAGTGCCGTTTACACTGAGACTGCAAGAATCAAAGCAGAATAACCCTGAAAAGATGGCGTTTAAAGACATTAGGTCATTGCAGACATCAGTCAAGCACGGGGAAAGACAATGTAAACGACATATGTCTGACTCGGGTGCTTTATTATTATATTATATAAACTTTCTCTTGCAAACCTGAAACATTCGAATCGTTTTTTTGCACCGGATCTTTCTAAAGATTCATTTGAAACAGTTTACAACAGACCGAACGAATCGTTCATAACGAACTGAATCGGGTCGAGCGGTTCTCGAGCCAAATGAACCGAGAGCTGTCTCTTTCTGACATAACAAACCAAGAAGAACCCATAAGTGAGCTGATAGTTTGAGCATTTTAAGTGTACCTACTTTAAGGCTACTTAAGGAGCTAATAATCAATCAATCATTAGAAATACAAATAGAACATGCTGCAAATGCAATGCATTTGCATTAACACACATACAAGACAGAGTTGCATTTTTACTCCTATAAATAGCATTTTTAGTCGACGTAATTGAATGAATCACTGCATTGTTGTTTTGGACTGTTCAAAAGACCGATTCGCGGAAGTGAGTCAGACTTCCCATCACTAGGTCATTTCGCAATAGCGTTGCTTTTCTCCGTGCGTTCTTATGGCACCTATCGCCTTGGCCATCAGTTGATTGACATAAAAATGTAACCAATAGAAACCAAGTCGATGAATCCGATGAGAAATATGAACCAATCAAAGCTACAATTGCTGTACCGTTACCATGACGTCTAACTTCTCACGTCGACCTTCCAAGCGTCGTCATTACAGATGGGGATTTTAGTTTTTTTGAGTATCTGAGCCACGATTCAGAACCAGTAATGGAACTTCATTTCCCATAATGCACCGAGACCTCCAGAGCACCCATGCTTTTGTTTTTGTTATTGTTGTGAGAGGTTCGTGGCACAGCTCATCTCAGCGAATGTGTCAGTGTAAATTGCACTTGTCATCAATCTCATGCATGTTTTCTCATTTATGACCGAACATCGTTTTTCAAGAGGATATTGTTTTCATTATTTAAGCTAAATCGGGTGAGTTTTGTTGTACGACGCTTGCGGTTTTTTCCACAAAAGAAAAAAATAGAAAAACTGCTGCATGTTCAGTAGCACGCAGCTACTGTAAAGACAAAGCATGCCATGTTTATAACATCCAATCTATTTTGAAGCGGTCCCAGGGAATGTGTATTGACCATAACAGTGTTATAATGTTGTCATGTTCTTTTTTTTTATTGCTGTAACAAAGTGTTAGATCTGCTTATGCATTGTTTTTTTTTCTCTCGTTTGTTGCGACGCTCTACCGAGTAACTTCAGATTGTTTCTAACTTTGGGCCTCGCTTGCAATAGTCATCCACGATTGTTTGCAAAGCAAAAACGGTAGTTTTATTTCGGAAGTCAGCAAAACAAACAAGATAATAAACTATTATAGAAATAATATAATTATTGTAACCATTATTTTTTATTATGCCTCAACAATCAGGTGTCACGTGTCAAGTAATATTTAAGTACATTAGATGAGTGAATTTCTGTTTTTTTTAGTTCACTATTTAACTCATTTCACCACATTTTAAACAATTCATGTCATGATGAATCAAATTATCCTTGATCTTTTGAGAGAAAAGAGCTTGATACTGAACATTGAAATTAAGCTGCAAGTTTCTGACATCAGACAGATGATGTAAGAAAACGTCCTTGGCCTGTTCATGGAGAGTCTAAATATGGAGTGTGTAGTTTATTATGAAGTGCTAATGATGGACCCACCTGTCATTGCCTGTAATCCATACCGTTCACAAAGTAAGTCACAGCATTTGTGGCGCCCGACAGCCTGTCATAAATGCTCTCTAAGAGCTGATGTGTGTCTGACTAAGAAAGTCTGCACTCAACATCAGTCATTCACAGGAACCCGGCATCTATTTTAACATAAACGGTTCCTCTTCACTTGTGCAACGCATTCACCTCTCCCCTACTGTCCTCAGTAAGCCTCGATAATAATGTCCATACAACTTTGTATGGACTAATTAAAAGCTGTTAGAGTTACTGTATATTTGTGAATGTGGACATAGACAAATAGGGCATACATATAGATAGAAATAGCCAACTACACACATACAATCTTAGAAATAAAGGTTCCAAAAGGGTGTTTTCGCAGTGATGCCGTAGAGGAACCTTTTGTGTTTCCCAAAGAACCTTTCAGTGTCCAGTTCTTAAAGAACCATTTTTTTCTTTGTGTGAAGAACATTTTAAAAATCTAAAGAATTTTTTCCACCATAAAACACTTTTTGAGGAATGTAAAGGTTCCACTGATGTTAAAGGTTGTAAATAAAAAAAAAACTTTAGATATATTGTGTAGATATAGCGTATTCAAGATTTAAAAAAATGTCATTATTGCCTTTGATCTCAGCTATGCATTTCTACAAGAGTGTAAATGGCATGTCTATGAACTTTTTCTTAACATCAGGATTTGATGTTAAAATTAATCTAGAATATATTGTATTTTGTATGTATTGTTTTTCTTTTTGTTTTTTAACCATCTTTTATCAACTTTGTTGCAGTTCGATGGTCATTAAAAATTTTTTTTTTGAAATACTAATATTTCACATAATCTCTCAAATAATGATGCCATAAAACTACATGTATAATAATTAAAGGATGAGAAAAATATTATCTGAAGTAGTTTTAGATGGCATGTCAATTATCATTTTAATATTTACCCAGGTGCATCACTATTCTGTTGCCATGGAGAAGACATGGGGGGTGGAGTTTCGAAATGTCGGAAGTTGCTACTTTCCTCAGAGCAGAGTGGACTGCCACTACACCATCAACCCTCAGCACACGTGGGCCAGTAACCACTGGATTGGACTGTTTAAGGTTAGAGATAGAGCCCGATTTCATCTTTGTTGTAGCTCTTTTGCTTAATTAAAGCTGATCTGTTTCCTTTTATCCTCAGGTTGGCTGGACATCAGTCAAGGACTACCATACGTTTGTGTGGGCAGTAGCTCCATCCAGCTACAAAGAGGGGACCTCTGTCAACTGCTGTGTTAATTTCCAAGGTCTCTGAAGCAGTGATTTTGGATGTTCAAGCCCTCTTGAAAGTCAGCTGATGGTCTCAATACAGTATGAATAAAGAATAGAGTGCTTTAGGGACATTAAAGGAGCTAATTACAGTTTATTGCATTGATTCATGCAACTGCTGGTCTCATTCACTGAGGTGCATTCAGTACATTAGCAAACGTTCATCCCCAGATGGCCTGTGAAGGAGATAAAATGCCACAAAGGAATTCGCCTGTAGTTAGTTATTAGTAGGGATGAGCAGGATGCTCCCAAATGACCCTAGATTGACTTGCTTCTCTGCACATTTTTGTGTAGAGTCGGCGATGCTTTAAAAAGAACTAATTCAGAGGTGCAATTTATTTGAAAAGGTTTTACCATACTGTGCTATAGCGTGCAGTACTATCAACACAGTAAAACCCTGCAACAGCCATTATTACATTGTTGTGTGCGAACATGTCTAATTTTCTAATTATTCAGGGCTTCCTTATAGCCAAATAATCGACTAATCTTTGAGACAAGCTAATGACCAGCTGATTTTTGAAAAGCACATCTGTAGTAATTAAGTTTACAGAGAGTGGACTCTATATCCTTTTAAAGTAACATTCATTACGGTTCAAAAGTTTGGGGTCAGTAACTTTTTGTTGTTGTTTGTTTGTTTTTGAAAGAAGTCTCTTATACTCACCAAGCCTGCATTTATTTGATCAAAAATACAGTAAAACCAGTAATATTGTGAAATATTATTGCAACTTAAAGTAACTTTTCTGTTTGAATATATTTTAAAATGTAATTTTCTTTCTGCAAAGGCAAAGCTGAATTTTCAGCAGCCATTGCAGTCTTCAGTGTCACATGATCCTTAAAAAAAATCATTCCAGTATACTGATTTACTGCTCAAGAAACATTTCTCATCATCAGTCTTGAAAACAATTGTGCTTTTTAATATTTCTGTAGAAGCAATGATTTATTTAATGATAATGAAAATTTTTTTTTATGATTATTTCATAAATAGCAGCATTTATTTGCATTTATTTATTTATTTTTATCAGTAAAATTATAAATGTCTTGACAGTCTTTTCATCAATTTAATGTGTCCTTGCTGAATAAATCAAATTTTATAATTTTATAAAAAATAAAATCTTAACACAAAAATCTTACTGACCCCAAACCTTTGAATGGTAGTGTAAATCAGTTTTTGCAAGTGTGTGTGTCTGTGAAAGTGTTGCCTGGGCTGAGATTTGCACAGTGCAGAATGGCAGCATTGTAATTTGTGGTGAGTAATGGCGATGGAGACAGAGTGCGTTTAGGACCTCAGAGAGCAGTGCCCCAGGCTTCAAGTGGTTTCGTAGGAAATCTCCAAACTTCACTCACTATGAATAACCAGACAGGAAATATTCAAATACGCTTCACCTGTATTCAAAACCACAGCCCACACAATACAGTTGTTCTGTTTATAGTTTTGTTGGCCTGTATTTGGCCTTTCACAGCTTCCCTCTTCTCTCTCCTCTTTAGCTTCTTACCTACCAGGGCCTAGTGCTCAACAGTACCAGTTTGTGTATGTGGATGGAAGAGAAGAGGTTTGTTCTCGCAGCACTGCCTTCACCTTCTCAGCCCCAAAGCCCCTAGAGGAGCTGGTGACTCTGGAGGAGGAGGGTCAGGGGGAGGAAGTGGGAGAGGACATGTTGCTGGTCATTCCTAGAGCCCAGCTACTGCAGGTTAAAGAATATGTTAAGACTGTAATTCAGTCCATCATTTTACACAAATGAGACAAAATAAGACAATGCCGGATCCAGGTGACAGTTGCCTAGGGTGGCAGCATTCTCTGCAGATGCATGAGCCGCTGCTTCCACTCACATCTATCACAAGCATACATTAATGATAGTTAATGATTTGTGTTCTAGCGGGTTACTTTTTTTTTGAGTCGCTTCATGTCCACACTCGTTTTTGTCTTTTCACATTAATAGTACTGTACAGTACATGTCAAGTTCATCATATTGCATAAAAATGTTCTACAAGTTTACTTCACTAAACTAACTTCATTGTAATATTAATATATATGTATGTAATATTTGCGAAGTATATACACTACAGGTCAAAATTTTGGGATCAGAATGATTTTTAATGTTTTTTACAGGAGTTTCTGATGCTCATCAAGGCTGCATTTATTTGATCAAAAATACAGGAAAAAATTTTATATTGTGAAATATTATTATGTAAAATAATGTTTTTATATTTTAATATACATTAAAATATAATTTATTCCTGTGATGCAAAGCTGAATTTTCAGCATCATT